CATTGACTCTGAAAGTTGACGCTGTACTCTCATGAGTCCCCTGTACGACTGGTTTTTGGGTGGCTTTGGGATCATAGCTGACCTGCCTCACAGTTCTTTTGCGACGTCAGGCGCATCATCCTCCGCATCTTTCTGCCGCCGACTGGAATCTCCGCGCAAAACGCTCCATGTGACCCGGAGGTTACTTGGGTCAACCAACAATTGAGATATCGTCGTCATTCGGTTGGAATCAATCCTTAAAACAAATTGGGCCGTCGTCCTCCTTGCTTTGGTTCAAATAAAGACCTGGTGGATCTGTCAGATTGTCCGGAACGCCTAGGCGCAGCCAGCAGACCAACGTGACGGATACCCAGCATTCATTGGTCCAAACTATCCCGAGGCGCAGTTAAAGTCGTGCCTAAGAACAAGCTCTCCTTACCTCAAAATAGTCTACTCCAAACTCGTTGCCTCATAGCGCGCTATCGTTGGGCTTCCCGGCTGCTGAGTGTTTCGATCGACCCGCTCCGTTGCCTCACTATCGATCCCGGGGACTCTCCTGACCCGCCAAAGAGGTGCCGTTCTCTCGGCTCGTGTGAACTTCGACTCGCATTCCAGAACGGATCCTCTTCGCTCCCGATCGTTGGTCCCTAAACGGAGGTATCCCTGACACTAGGTGTTAAGGCGTGGGCGATCGGTGAGCGGTAATAAGGTTTCTGTTTAGGGGCGACGCAGCTTCGCGCCTGGTCCAGTCGGTAGTCTTATAAATATCCCCAACCTTGTCTTCGTCACCGCCGGGGATGGGGTCGACAGATGTCCCTTTAACCTCCCCTACCACCTCTCGGTCCGGTCTTGTGGATTTTGGTGCTTCTCTACGCCTTTGGGACTCGACTTACACTGCCTTCACCAATTCTGGTGCTTTTGCTTCACTCGCCCGTCTTTGTCAGGCATATAGCTACGATGGCACGGTGAATTGGGGAAAGGTCGTTTTCCTGACTACTTGTTTCATCACTATGCTGGGTTGCGGAGTCATTTCTTCCGTCCTGCGGCGCAAGGCCTGGGGACAAGTCTCAGGAAAGGCACGTTTTCGTCGAACGCGCAAAGGCTTATCCAAGCGCTCTGAAGGAATGGTCACTTCTTCAGATGAGGAAGACTACGATAGCACGGGATCTCTACGCCATGGCACTGAAGGCACTGTTGTGGAGAAGACGGAAGTGCCTCAACAAAAGCAGAGCGAGAATGGTTGGTACTCTCTCAGTGTTTCAATGTTGGATACTGACATAGACAAGCCCATGATACAGACCCAGGCCTCCTGAAGAAGCACTCATCATACCTGTCATACACAACGTCTACGGCGACATATCCTTCTATCAGAACGTTCTTCCGTCCGCATCCTCAAAAGGACAAATTGCCCACTAAGCCCTCGCCGATTCCGTTGTTGGTCTTTGTGCATGGCTTGGGTGGATCTCTTGCGCAATTTAATCATCTGCTTACGAGTCTTTCCAATGTCGGGCCTTGCTTTGGGATCGATCTCCCTGGGTGCGGCTTGTCGTCTTTTTCGCCCACTTCTTGGGACGCGTATACTGTGGAAGCGCTAGCAGAGTTGCTTGTTACAGCCGTTGAGCAGCACCGGGACAAGGAAGCAGGCCAAGAAGTGGTTCTAATCTCTCATAGTCTGGGCTGTTCGCTGTCTGCTCTATTAGCATCCTCCACGTCTTCGATAGGCACTGGTTTGAAAGAACATATTCTTGGTCTCATTGCCGTCTGCCCTCGCGGTGCACCCCCACCCCCACATGATGTTGCCAAATTTCGCCGGCTTCTTCATGTACCCAGCCCAATCTTTGACCTCTGGCGCTACTGGGATCGGCGGGGCGGTTTACACAGCACCAGTGTGAACAGGCTTGTCGGCGCAGCAGCAGATCCCGATACCAGAGGCCTCCAAGTCCGCTATAACAAGCAGAGCAAGACGGCCGTGTGGAGACGGATGGCATGGGGAACACTGCCGTCGTATGACAGTAATGGCAAGGCCGTCGGAGGCATCCCTGGCGAAGATGTATGGGCAGGCGTGCGCACGCCCGTTCTCCTAGTGGCTGGTGAAGCGGATGCGGTGAACAAACCTGCAGAGCTAAAGAAGATCCTGGAGTTCTTTGCCCGAGCAGGGTGCAGCGTGGATGACGACGCGGATGGAGTGAGCTCCATTCCCGATGCATCCGCAGTTCACGATAAGATGCCGGCATCGTATGATCGGCGGGCACACGAAGAGGAATTCGGGGTGGAGCCACAGATTGAAGAGAAGGAGATCACGAGTGAGTCTGATCAGCCGGGATCTCGGCGGTCGGTCAAGACTGTTATCTTGCCTGCTCCGGCGTCTCATGCTTTGATCTACGACCGTGCGACGTACCGCACTCTTGCCGGGATCATCCAAGACTTTCTCAGCCAGCACATCGATAACCGCCTCAGCATGGGTTGGCAGCTGCAATATCTCAATACGTCAGGAAAGTGGGACGTGAAGAACCTGGCGAAGTGGAAGAAGGTTGCTCCAGTGTCAGAAAGAATTGCTGACACCTTTGCGGCGCTCAAGATGCTCCGGGAGGTGGACGAAGAACACAACCCTGTGCTGTTCTCTCAAGCTTACCGCGACAAGATCTACGCTGTGATAGATATCAGCTACGAGAATCCGGTGTACAATCCCGCGTCCATGGAGAAAGGCGGCATCCACTACCACAAGCATCCCACGGTGTCAAAAATCCCACCTACTCCAGACGAGGTTCGCGACTTCATCGCACTAGTAGACCGACTACAGAATGAAATCACTGAGAAGATGGAGAAGTCCGGCAACCCCGCGGGTCCACGGCCAGTGGTAGGAGTCCACTGTCATTACGGATTCAACCGCACGGGATTCTTGATTGTCTCGTACTTGATCGAACGGCGCGGATTCAGTGTGCCGGAAGCGATCGAGGAGTTCGAACGGCGACGTCCACCAGGCATTCGCCACGAACACTTTATTGATACCCTATTTGTGCGATACTGCGTTGGCCTGAAGCGGGCGCCAACGCTGTAGGAAGAATGAGTTAGATTTGGCAGGGCAGGCGTTGGCTGGGATATTTCGGGTTACTTTTTTTTCACTTCTCGTAATGGAGGATAATGGGGTTTCGCTTTATGAATCACGATAAATATACCATAGACTGTACAGTAGGACAATAGAGGAATACGTATGTTGAATATGCTCCTTATCTAGTTCGTAGTAATTGCTCACTAATCACGGATCTACATGATATTAAACTAAGGCATCAATATAATTCATGCCTGAACGCACGACCCCAGTCACATGACCAATCAAAATCTCACCGCCCACGGCCATCTGCCCCAGGCACCAGCTTAGGGTACGGCTAACCCAAACAGGCTAAGCGAAGCGCCCACAGCCAACCGAGAAGCACTACTCGCGCAAAGTTGTGTGCGAATCCGAAATTTCGAGGCTTTCTGACCCCGACTCCCCTTCAACGACGACAACGACCGACCCATCCCCCTCCACGCCTCCCTCGTCCCTCTCTTCGATTCCCCGTTCGAGGTTCAACAAGTCGCAAAAATGGGTGGTGTCACCGTTCGCGATGTCGACGTAAGTCATGTCATGTCAAGATTCGAGATTGGTTGGTCGGTGCGGAATGGGATGGATGGCATGGCATGGCACACAATATGGCACGGCACGATCAGGACAAACCGACAAAAATGAGATTTAATCTGGTATCGGCATTCGACGGAGCAAGCGACAATCATATATATCTATCTGGGATCGAATTTGGGCGCATCAAGCAAGGCTGGGTACATATATACTCTGGGCATCAGATGTGATGAGTTTTGGGTATGGTTTGGGGAATATGCAATGCTTGCACGACTTCGCGATTGTATACCCCTGCCATATATATTGAATATGGAGATTTTGGATCAAATGGATGTTATGGGGTCAGGAACGAACTGGAACTACTGCCGCCGCGACTTGCTGGATATGTCCAGATTTGCCGATACGTGCCGTGCCATGTTATATGCCATGCCATGCCATGCCTGAATGCGCACCTGCCAGACAATCTACGATATAGGATGTTCAATGGACGGAACGGCTAACAGGATTCTTTTCCATGGTTATAGGCGCAGAAGTTCATCGCTGCTTACTCTGCTTTCCTGAAGCGTCAGGGAAAGCTCCCCATTCCTGGTTCGTGCACACGGGATCCTTTCGAACAATTGGAACAATCAGACCAAAAAACTAATACGGCTTAAATAGGATGGGTTGACACTGTCAAGACCTCCGCCTCCAACGAGCTCCCTCCCCAGGACGCCGACTGGTACGACAACTGCCATTGATTCAAACATCTCGAAAGATAAAAGAACCAGCGTGATTAACGAATACTTTCAAATAGGTACTACATCCGCGCCGCCGCCGTCGCTCGCCACATCTACATGCGCAAGACCGTCGGTGTTGGCCGTCTCCGCAAGGTCCACGGTTCCACCAAGAACCGCGGCTCCCGCCCCGCCCACCACGTCGATGCCTCCGGCTCCGTCGACCGTAAGGTCATGCAGTCCCTCGAGAAGATCGGTGTCCTCGAGCACGATGAGGAGAAGGGTGGCCGTCGCATCACCCAGAGCGGCCAGCGTGATCTTGACCGTATCGCCAAGACCACCGTTGACGAGGAGGAGGACGAGGAGTAAATTAGTCTCTCCGGATGCTCGAGCTAAAATAATGAAAAAGTCCTGATGTTACTCTTTTTCTCCGAACCCCTTACCTTCTGTCTTCTCTACCTACACCTGGCAAACTCCCTATTGAAGCTGAGCTAGGCTTTAGCTTCTTTACTGTGTTTTTTTTTTTATAAAAACTCCCCGTTTGTCTTCTGACACCAAATCCCGCGCGGGTTTGGATGGGGGCCACCCAGGGGGGGTGTGTTGGGTTAGATGGGGAAATGGAATATTGGGACGAATGAGTGGCTACGACAGGGAGAGGATGACTTGACTACTACTACCTTTTCTCTTTTTTTTTTATCGATCAATTGGTTGTTCCTGCGGGCATAAAGGACAATTCATACATGGTGTAGAATTTTGCCTAGATTTCCTCTCCCGATTAGATGTATAGAGCCCATCTAGAAGCCAGCCACCAGAGACATAGGTATTTGAGCATATATGCAAACCCATCAACGAGACCCGCAGCATAAGAACAATGTAATGCATACAACCATATACAAGAACCAACTATATACACCATCACCTTGCAATCAATTCCCGTCCACCAACTACATCTATCCAACACTTGATACCCTCCCCTTCTAAACACCACAACCTACTCCTCAATCCCAACTAAGTACCTATTTCTTCCCACCCTGCGCCGTCGGATCCTAGACACATCACCAATCAATTAGCCAACATCCCCAAACCACCACCAACCAAGAAAAAGACCGGGGGAAGAGGGGGGGATACATACCAAATAAACCTGATAAAACCGCATTTTCTCCACCTTCTCATCAAACACGACCCTCCCAGCCCAAGGCACCTCAATCTCCTCATCAGGCTTTCCAGCCTCCACATCCTTCCTCAGCACATACCTCACCGTCCCATACAGCATGAGTTCTCGCTCCGCGCCGAAATACACCCGTTCGGGGGTGTGTTTGCGGCGTGCGACGTGGGTCCAGAGGCCATGGCGGAGGGTGAGGATTTCTGTATTATTCCATATTTGTTAGTATTATGTTCAGTAGGCAGAGTTATGGTTCGGAATAATGGATAATAGATGGATGTAATTGCATGAAGAAAAGGGAATTGGGGAAGCATACCATCCAACCCCTTCGCAACTTTCGAGCCCATAATGAGCGTCGCATCTTCCGTGAAATTCGTCACGTATTCGTTGTGCAGGGATTCGGTGTCGCTGATGCGGTAGAAGTTCTCCAGGAAGGAGATCATGGCGGCGCTGGTGGGGGGGAGGAGGGTAGATGGGGGGGTGGTGATTGTGTAGCTCATTTTCGATGTATAGTATGTCTAATTATTCTTGGGTTTGGGGGTGAGGTATTGTGAATTGGATGGTGTAGGGGTGGTTGTGAGAGGTATAGTTTTATTTTAATAGAAGGCAATTGGGATGCTGCATAGATCGGTGATGTAAGATAATAACTTTGTGAGGGGAGAACAAGATCTGTCGGGCCGATGGAGGGACTTCCGATGAATGGATGGATGGCGGCGATGGTTATCGGATCCGATCCGTAAGGTGATTGTATTCTTATCCGTCTTGGCTGAGGGGAGGGTTGTTTTTCTTGCGTAGGAGTTGGGAGGTATTCTGGCTAGTCTTTCTTTATTTCTACGTAGTTAAGTATACTGTGCATGCTTTGTGGTGATGTTCATTACTGGTAATATTTGTCATAAATGGTCCTATGTACGTAGGTCTACGCCTTCCGGCTATCAACATCTTTCTCGAAGTCCTCCCAGCTCGCTGCATCAGTACCGTTGGGGCGACTGGACCGAACAAACGAGTTATCGACACCCTCTATCTCTGCAATCGGGCGAACGATCTCAATGTCCGCATTGTACGCCTTGGAGAACCATTTCTCCGTAAGGGCCTCCGCGCCCGCCTCCTCAGGAGTACGGTAGAGGTGAGGGAAACGTGCCTGCATTATCTTAAGAACGGTCGATGAAATGCGATCAACGCTGTCGCAATGACGAAGCTTGAAGAACTCTGCGGGCTGCGCGGCGCGCATCTTCTCTTGCATGGCCTCTGAGTACTGGCCCACGGCAAAGAGAAGTAGGTCGTAGTGCATGAGAGACGCTTTGCCGTGGTACGAACCGCCGTATTTGGCGCGGTTGTAGAGACCAGTCAGGGCGGCGATGGCGCCCATGCAGCCGGTGCCATAGTCGGAGATGGGGAAGGGGGGGACGACGGGGGTGGAGAGGCCCATGAATTGACCTTGAGCCCAGGCGATACCGGTGACCTGTTGCAAATAAGTTAGTTATGGCTCGTGTTAAGTTGCAAGTAGCACTTACGCAGTCGGCGATCTGCTGCCAGCCAGGACGGCCGGCCCACTCTCCTTCATAACCAAAACAATTCTCATTGACGTACACAATGCCCTTTCCGCGCTTCTCAGCCAAAGCAGCAAGAGCATTGGGGCCATAGCCCAGCTTCTCAAGCGCACCAGGGCGGTACCCGTCCACGACAACGTCGGCATCGGCCACGAGCTCTTCAAATCGGCGGCGACCCGCTTCGCTCTTCAGGTCCAGGTCGGCGGCGTGCTTGCCCATGTTGCCGTCAACTTGGAAGAAAGGGACATCGGAGAGGTTGGGGCTGGTGATCTTTAGCACGTCCGCGCCGTATTCGGCCAGGATGCGGGCAACAGTAGGGCCGGCAATGATGCGGCACAGCTCCAGAACCTTGACACCTTCGAGGACTCGCTTGCTGCCGTTGCGGCTGGCTGGGAAGGGGGTCGGCGGCAAGTCTCCATTCAGACGGCTGACTTTCCACGGAGGCTGTTGGACGTTGAGTGCTCCCTAGTAGCTTGTCAGCGTTGCTTGGTGGGTACAGGGCAGGGGTCATACATGCGGGGTCTTCTTGAAATCGTCATATTTAAATGCGGTCACACCCGCCTGTCGTCTTTCTCTGTTCATCTCTTCCAACTCCGCGGCGCTGTACTTCTGCACGTGGCTCTCAATGACCTTGATGATCTCCTCGTAGTCTGTCAGGTCGGGACGCTGCCCTTCCAGGCCAATCATGTTGAGCGTTGTGGTGGCCTCCAACGAGCCGTGGATGTGGAAGTATTCGTTGTCGTTCTTGGTCTTGTAGAGGTTCGCCGACATCCGGCGGTAGCCATTGGATTGGGCTGCAAGCAAGTCGGTATCTACGTCTGTTAGCTTGGGTTGAATGTGCTTGGAATGGGCAGCTTACCCTTGAGCTTCTTCTTCACCTCAGGGTCCAACTTGGACAGCCCGTCGACCTTGGCCATATAAGCCTGGCAACCAAACGCAGTCGCCCGTTCAAGACTTATGTTGACATTGCGCTTGTGTTCAGAAGGTCCATAGCGGAGGTCTGCAATAGCACCGGCTACGGAACCCTCAACACCCTTAAGGGCAGCAAGCGTCTCGGTTTCCTTAAAAGGAATTGGAAAGTAAACTTCGTCATGTGTTGAAGAGAAAGAAACGGCATCCTTGCCTTCAATCACTTCTTTAGGTAAATCGAGCTGCTCAGCTTGATCACAGAGATGAGAAAAGATGCGCCCAGCTTCGCGAACTGGTGAATAGTCCACCGCGGAAGATCCCGCCATGATGTCAATCAGTACTAGGTGGAGCTTCGTGAGTAGATGTGTGTGCAACAAAGTTCTTCCTCAACTGCAAAAGCAAATTGTTAGCGCGGGATCCCACACGGCTGTCAGTTGCAAAGAATAGTTTGAGGTGAAACCTTGCCTTTTAATAGGCAAGATTTTCGGCACGGCTGGAGCCTACTGTGATGGCAGTGAATATTGCGCCGGGAATATTCCGACGTTTGGTCCGTCGGGTGAAGGTGCAGTGGTGAACGCACGGCTGTGAGTAACTGCACAGCTGTGAACGCGCAGATGTGGACCAATCGGTAAGTGAATGGGTGCAGGAAACCATTATGCTTGCTGGAGAGGCGAATTATGGGCCAGGATAAGGGCAGAGGGACGAACCCCGCAGAGGGGATTCCGAAAGGTGGACCGGCTTTGCGATGTGCACTTTTCGGATGCGTCGCCGATAAGATCGGAAGCGGAACCCTCCGGCTTTGACTCGGCTGAGATAAGCGTCGACCTCATTTATCTCCATGGTATGTCATATATCATGTATTGAATTTCGAGAGATTGGCAAGCTAGCGTGCATCATATTTCAGTTCTATTGCTGTAGACACTTGTAGACACTAGTGAGATCAATAGACAAGATATTGCATGCATATAGGCCATCAGTAACCTACTTCGGAGACGAACCCTTCCAAGTCACCTCTCAATCGACATTCCTATAGAAAGGGAAACAAGAGACTCAATGGTTTATCTATTTGGCTTGATATGTTAGACAGATAACAATTTATGACATAACCTAATAAGGTTGCTTGTATTCCACCACCGAGACCTTCTAGTCCAATCCTATCAGCCAGTGTAGTATCATGTTCAAGGTTACGCAAATAGTCCTGTAGTATATTGGCAGGCTCACTCCAAACTATCGTTGTACCAGGTGCGCAACTGACCGGGATAGACATGTCTATATAATTCAGGATCAAGCGCTATTTTCTTATATATTGATGTAAGCTATGCGCAGATAGCGTTCTGTGTTGCTAAATCGACTCATGGACAACAACATTAGTCGATTTAAATCCCTTGTGCTGGACCTTTGTTGTAGAAATTTATCAGCACTCCATACGAGCGTAGCCAAGCTCTGCTTGGTAGACATCTGCAAGATAGTATTCCTGATATGAGGTAATATCAATCCGGTGCCTCCCAGTGAGAGATAGGTCTAGTCTCTCGTAACAGGTCGGAGTCGATTTTCCGACCCAATAACAGGGTACGAGACGGTCAAAATCCCCTTCTAGTTGCTTGAAACGTAAACTCTCTAGTTACTGCAAACGAGCTGCCCCTCGACCACCTGGTGAAAGTCTCGAAGTTCAAAACTGGCAGCGTATAATGCGCATCACTCATAAGCTTCAATCGGGTAGAATTATTACGAGTAGTCGATGTAAGACTCCGATCCCATAGTGACAGGTTAGAGGCAGGTCTTGTTTCGAGGAATTAACCTGAGTAGAAGCAGCGTGAGACATAATCCTCTGTGTCTTTCCCCTAGTATCCGTTTAGCGGACTGCAGGAGATTGGATCAGCTGCACTGAGTATATTCTTTGATATTGGCGCTCCCAATCTCCCAAGTTATGACCATGTAAACCAAGGGACAGTCATACAATCATTGGGTGTCTGACCTTTACACCAAAATGACCTCTCTCGGAGTATTGGAGGAATACCCATTTCCCACCATCTCAGAGAAACATTATCTTGCCGCGTTCGCTCCGGTCCCCGCGCCAAGGGCAGCCTTCGCAGCTCGGAAATCATGGCCTTTCTGTTCGGCATGAACGTTTTCTTGTCCTTGAGCGCGTCTGAGATGAAAGTAGCATCGACCATAACAGAATTTTTTTGTTCTTGATGAAGAGATGAACCATAGTGTTTAGAAAGTCAAAGTTAGACCATTTCTTTCAATCAACGATATATACATTCGCGGGCCCCTCCTCTTCGGCGCCAGGTCCGACCATAGCAATACCGTAGACAATGGTCTTGTCTTTCATCAGATTCTTTTGATTAATCAATTTATTTTTTTTGTGTCAAACGCACCACCTCACCTCCGAGTATGTAAGAGCCACGAACATGGGGTACCAGGGGATGCACTTCTCCTCCAGCCAGACAGTCGGTCCGCGAGGTATACGGTTGGGGCATATATCACCCTCTCCATTGAAGTCACTAGCCCACTTTTGGCCTCATGTAGTAGCAGCGATACTGGTATCATGTAAGATAATATAAACCCACGCGTCAGGCCAATGCGCGGGGGATGGCAGCTCATTCCTCTGCGAGGTGCCCCCGTCGATGGGCCAGCACGCTTGAACTAATGGCCACTGATACGACAGAATGGCTCCCGCTGGACATGCTGCCAAACTGCCGCGTTCGCTACGGTCCGGAGCGTCCAATAACTTCTAAGCGGTGGATATAGAGTTATAAAAGATGCAAAAGAAGAATAACATGGTGTTTTACGTGCTGTTTTATTTGGTGATTTAACTAATGTTAGTTACAGGAGTAGAGGATGCAAAGGAGTGGAAGAAACAGAGGGGAAGCCTGTGTGTCTTTACCAAATAAAGCAAGCACGCTGCAATTTTGACAATCTGATATTCTAGCCCTATCGGTATACATTGGTGCTGCATGGTTATATATACTACTGGCTTCCCTCCGCTCAGATAATTCATGGGTCAACTAAGCTCGCACCCATGTTACTCGATTGAACTTGGATAACAATAGGAGCATGACTCTCTCAATTCTGTGGAGTGAGGGACATTGGGTTGCAGAAATGAAAGGTCTCACATGGTTGGACTACCAGATACTAATTATCTGCCTAAGCACCACGGTTAGCATCTTAAGAGGAAACGCCTATAAGCCGCAGGTGTGTTATCTCTTAGGCACTAGAAAGGTTCGAGAAAAGAAGCTGCATGATGCTTGGATCCCTTGTGACCTTAGCAGTAAGATGCAATTGTAAATAAACTATATATATATTCAAGAAGTGTTGCGGTATCGATTTCTTCATCTGTACGATTGTCAAACATGCAAATGCACTACAGGGTCATGTGGCTGACAGGAAGTTTGGATGAGCTTAGAAGTTCCATACGAAGTGCTCTGTAGTGGTATCAGAACGAATCGTAGCACCGGATAACACTATATTGGGCATCGATCAATCACTCCTATTATACTATCCAGCTGCCTGACATCTATAGTTATGAAATTACATTGTGTTGTATGTTGTAATTTGGCTAGTCCATATATTTGGCCATGGTAATGGCCTGGCTATTAAAGTGGCACAGAATCGCCACAATGTATGATTGTAGTCTGTGGCTGCGGCTGCGGCAGATCGTATGGAAGATGTAGATCCCGTGTATTGCTTTTCAACTATGGGTCTCAGGCTGCCTTTTCCTTCTAGTCGTGAAAATAGTATGTTCAATCGAAAGTTCCATGGAATTCCCAACCAATCTGCATAGGGGTGATAGATCATAACAGTCCCTATTGTTTAGGGGGAAGCGACAATAATAGACCACTACTATTTATTTAGATGCGGCGTTGTTGGAAATAGTCTACCTTTAGCCTCTAGTTTATTGAATCCACTTTTAAGGATATAAATAACATACCCACTATGCAGTAGATACTTACTCTATTGAATAGTAGATCGAGCATCCTGATACACCACTATTTAATAATGTTATCCACCCCGACAATCTGAAGTCAACGTGTAAAGACACCTCAGTTTATAATCATCGTCAACAAACGGAGAACCATCCCCCGTCAACTCCTCTTTCTAGTGCGATTGGTGGGGGCGAATGTTGATCGCATGCGGCACAAGCAAAACGACATTAGAACCAGAGTAGAAAAAGCAAAGGAGGAAAAAGGCCCGAGCGGAGATGCATAGACATCACGAGCCCGTCTCAGCCAGTCAGCGATTGTCCATTTCCCCCAACCGACATCCCAACCGGCTTGATATGGCCGATGAGGACATGACACCCCCGTACTATTTGATGCAAGTCTGCTGCATGAGCAAAAAAGCAGACAGACAATCTAATGAACGTCGACGTATCTAGCAAAAAGTATATGATGCAATGACGGGAATATTGGGAACGCATCTAATGGGTCCAACAGATGAAGTAGATACGCAGTAGAGGATCCTCGCTAGTCAATCAATTAAATGCCTCTCTAGAATCACGTTGTTGTTGCCAACCCAAAAATTGAGAGCAAGCTCCGGTGCAACCTAAAATGCCCAGTTCCTACCCATGAATCCCGCACACAAGGAACAATCCACATTTCTACACTTTCTTTCCCCCAATACACATTTAGGCTTCTGCAAAAAGAAACTCTCCATGGGGGTTGGATGAAGGGTGGGATGCACAGCCAGTCACCACGGCGTCCACCTGCGCATGTGCGGTGCCCGACAACCCACGTGCCGTCATCATGGAAGGTTATCGCGTACCACAAAAATCCCATGGAGGATAATCCAGTTGTAGGGTAAGAACCCTGCAATCAACCCTCCTAGACGCGGGGAGGGGGCGCACGCGCACGAGGCACCGGCCTTGATATGCTCGATGGAATCAAGTGGAAACGTTTGCTTTTCCGTCTACTACTCTTTAAAACCAAGGAAGTGGAGGTGGTGGTTGTAGTATACGTCCTATTGAAATTACCTCATTGGGGGTGTGGTGAAATTCAACCAACTTCTGGTCGGTTGGGTTTTGGGGCGGGTATCACAGGCTTCGTCACCGACTTACTCTTTGTAGTCTGTGTGAAGATAATGACGAAAGCATCTAGGATGGAGGGGGTGGAAATATGGGGATAATCATATTAATTAGTTTGTAAAGATAGAAAAGAATATGAGCCCAGGAATGGAGTGGCTTTCTGCAATAAGTAGTTTCTACAGAGTTACTATCTACTTTCTCGGTATGGAAAGTGTGAGTGATAAGCCGGTGTGTGTGTGCGTGTGGAAATTCTACAAAATACGGTAAGATAACGCGAGGATTGAAATCAGGGCCGATTGCCCCCGGAAGCTTCCGGCGCTGTCTACGGCGGGCCTGAGGCTGGCAACCAATCAGCCGGGCCACGGGCTGGTACGGCGGACTGCTTGCGTCGGTAAGAAGGAGGTTCTGGGTCTGACAGGATGGATAAGGGGAACTTTATGGGAAAGATGTCGATGATAAGAGGGTCGTACTGGAGACACGGACATACCAGGCAGTTCCATCCTTAAAGGAGGTCGTCATCCCACACTAATTATCTACTTAGTTGACTGTGTATCTCACCGGAGAGAGGGGTTCATCATCAATCAAATCAATTTAATTTAACTCCTTTTTGCCAGGGATCTTTTTACAAAAAAGGAGAACAAAATACCGTACCTTTCAAACCTGGCATCTACTGAGTTATTTTTATTTTATTTTGTTTTATCTTATTTCCAATCAAGGTACACACACCTACTTAATTCCCTTTTTATTTTTGCCCCGAAAGAAGGCGCCTCCTTCCCGGCTGACAGACATTCCATTATTGCTATTCTTACTACTATTGACGGACTGCAACCACCACTCCTTGCGTTTACCCCCCTCCTTCTCCTCTCCGTCTCATTTCCTCCTTCTACTTGCCAAATCTCCTTTCTCTCCTCTCATCCTATTCCTCATCAAAGAACTTCCCCAAGGCTTTCTGACCTCCCCCCCTGGTTCTTGTTGGCTCGATCATCCTGGTTCTGCTTGTCTCGACCTGTCGCGTCATCCTTCCTATCAACTCTCCTGCCCAGTAGTACGCTGAGTTAGCGCGTCGCATCGCATCTACCCTGCATACTACGCCTCAGCGTTGCGTCTGCACAGCTGTCCCGACTGTGATCTGCCTTTGCGAACAGTGCACTGTGAGTACCAAACCCTCAAAGAAAAAATTACAACCAAATTCCAACCAAATTCCTTTGGTCTTAATTTTTGGTTTTCGTTCCTTATTGTTCCTTTTTGCCTCCGAACGCGTGAATCTTATACTTCCCAATTGTCCTTCTGAGTGTGGGACTTAGTCATCTGTTCCATTGGTTGGCCTCATGCAATGATTGGCGGATGGTCCTCTGACTCATTTGATAAGCAGATTAGCCACCCTCAGGTCCCCAAATAAAAGACAGTATCTAGATCCTCTTGTTGGTCTCGATCATCACCATGGCTTTCATGAATACCACTTCCAGCATTGCTATGGCCCTTGCTGGCAAGACGGCCTCTGTCGATATCCCCAAGCCGCGCTCCGGTTTCACCCCGGGCGGTCGTGACTCCGCTCGTCCGGGGCATCCTGCCATGTTGCCTACTCCGCCCAACTCCATTTCCCCCACTTTGCCTCCGCAGGGCTTCAGACGCCAGGGCGCTAATCACCCTGGATACTCCCCGCTGAGCTCCTCGCATGTGGAGTCCGATGTTGAGCTCGGAGATGCCGCCGATCATACGAACAACTCGAATGAAGCTCGTCCGTCGGCTCATGATCTAGATAGCACCGGGGCTATCACGCCGGGCATGTTGGCCAAGTGCCATCTTCCGGAAATTATGCTGCAACATGGCCCTTTGGCTATTCGCCACCTGATGGGTTATTTGACTACCAGTGTGCCGGGTTTCTCAGGCATCCCACCTGCCAAAGCCCGCAGGCTGGTGGTCGCTGCGCTGGAAGGCCGAGGGAGCGAAGACAAGAGTGGCGGCCGTGATGGTGATGTTATCTTCGAAAAGGTCGGCTGGGGACGCTGGGATGCTCGCCGTCGTGGTGAGCCTTTACGGGATGCGCAACACCTCAACGTGTCGCCACCCGCCAGTATCTCCAACTCTTTCCCGCAACGGGGCATGCAGATCCCTACGAAGCGGGGAAGCGTTCAGCCCTATGGCAGTAGCGTTACTGGCGACTCCGCTGTCTTCTCTTACTCGGAGATGGACTACGGTGGACATGATATCAGCATGCTGGAACATGAGGCTGACAAGATGTCACTTGACGGAAACGAGCGCGAGTACTGCTCGTCGTCTGAGGCCCCGGACGACGAGATGCAGGACGAAGACTGGGGCGAAGAAGACATCACAGATGAGGAAGATTGGGCACAGATAGGTGCTGATGCGCTTCGCGCACGATCATTGAACGCCTCGGGAGGCTTCGTGAATGGGACCCATAACTCGCCACAACTGCGAGGCGGAGGACCTGCTGCGTCGTCGCTGGCGAAGTCTGCACCGCGCAGATTACCGGTTCAACAACACGGCTTTACTCTCCCGGAGGGTGTCATGGGTGACCGGGAGGAGCGTGCTGCAGTCGAGGCGCTCCTCCGACTTGGATCGATGTAATCATATATATACTTTTGGCAGGCGTTTGTCAGGAACATGAACTGTTCTTGCAACCCTGCAACGTCTCTTCTGAGACTTGAGGCTGGTCCTATTCCCTGATACATACTTTTACGTTCTACGATTGCTTTTCTTGTTCAAAGAATACACCAGCAAGCTGGACGACGTTATCGATACGACTGGTTCGATCCTGACGATGCATTGGGTTTGGGTTCTGGGAATGACCCCGGCGTTTTGGCATTTCTTCAAACAACATTCACATAATGACATCGACCTGGTACAAGGTTGATGAACTTGTTGCCTATCAGGCGTTCTTGGGGGTGCGTTTCAACACACATACTGGCACCCCGGACCACTCTCCATTCTTGCAATTATTGGAACATATGATTGTTGCATGGCAACAATTGCAATGGACTACTTCTATCCATTCAATCCATATTGTTTATATGGTTTTTACGACTCAGTATTGATAGCTTGAGTCTGCCGAGTGAGGCATTGGACATATTTTTTACACATAGAGATAATAAATATACGGTCTATGCTTGGTCTCGGCCACATAGTCATCACATACTCACTTGCCTTGTTTTGTAAAATTTTAACAGTACATATCTAGGTATCATACACGATTCGAAGCAAACGATACTTAGTATACTCTATTGTTTGTCTCACAACATTTAAGTAACATAAATAATTCAAGAACAAGTTACGTAGTACTTAGTTTACAAGCCCAATACACCCACCTTTCTATCCCAATCCAAACCCCGAGCACAACCTATACCGTTCCCTTCCCATCCTAGCAAATACTAGTAACCTAATCAGACACACCGAAACAATCAACCAACCAGCCAACCAACGCCCAACCCATCCCAACAGATATATCATCATACATAGTGCACACCCCAAACCAACCCTACCCCACCCAACATCCTCCCTATCTCAACCAACACCACTACATATAAATAAAAAAATAAATCACCGATCATGAACCTCATTAATCCTCCTCCACACCTCCGCCTCCACCTCACCCAACTTCCGTCCCGCCCACCTCATCCACCCCCACACTCCATCCTCACCCTCCGCATCACCCAGATCCACCCTCCCCGACGACGACGCATCCAGCTCATAATGCAGTGGCAGCTGCGCCCCCGCAGAAGTCACCGTCGTAGTGGTCGTCGTGGTAGCTGTCGTGGGGGGCTGGTAGAGGGAGCCGTAGGGTGTTGTGGTCGAGTTGGGGATGAGGTTGGGGTTGGGTTGGGTTGGTGGGCGATAGCTGCCGTAGCTGTAGCTGTAGCTGTAGCTTTGGGGGTGGGTATGGCTGGATGGGGGTGTTGGGGTGTAGGAGGATGCTGTGGGTGCGGGTGCTGGTGCTGGTGCTGGTGTGATGGTTGGTGGAAGAGGAGGGTCGGCTGGTTTTGGCGCAGGTGGTGATGGTGAAGGGTTTGAGGTGGTGGATGTTGGAGCTGGGTGGTCAGTGGAGGATGTTGGGGGAGGGATAGGGTGGGCGCCTGGTTGGGGTGGTGGTGGGGATGTAGATGTAGATGTAGTTGGAGGAGGGTCTTCGGTGGTGGTGATGGTGGTAGTGGCTGCTGCGGGTGTCAATGGCACTTGGGTGTCCAGGGAATTGGTTGTTTGAGGTGGGAGGTCGCTGGGTTCTGCGGTGGCGTAGATGGGAGAGTATGCTGGGGCAGTGGCTGTCGCGGAGGTGGTTGCGGGTTGGGTTGTGTCTTGCTCTGGTTCTGGCTCTGGCTCTGGCTCTGAGTCAGGGGCGGCGGCTGGGCTGGAGGTCCGGGGAGGGACCTCGTCTGGGGTGGAGGAACTGGTCATTTTGGGTATAGGTGGAATTGGGGAAGGGGATGTATGAACTAGAAGGGAGGAAGCTATAACTATGGGATGAAGCTGGAGCAGGGATCGACGTCATGGAGCTTTGTTACACGTGACGTTGCCATTGGGTCAGGTGACCAGAATGCTGCAAATTTTCACAGCAACTGTGGCATCTACTTTACGGACTAAGAACTGATATGATCCAAGGCAGGACATACTGATTTTGATACCAAGGTGGAGAAAGTACAGTTGGAAGAAAAAAGAAATAAGCTTGCGGGCAGTAAAATACAACTGGTACAAGAGGAAATATCACACGATTCTATGCTCAAGATTATTGATATCACTCTTGACGCATATTTCTATCCTCCGCAGCACCTCCGGCATCTGGTAGTTACACCAAGACACCGGCAACCCCATTTCCCCGATATCATGACTGAAACAGCTTGAAATCAATCAAGCGCTTAGCCAGAGCCACCCTTGTACTTCTTGCCGAAGAGGATGAGCTGGACCTGGTCGTAGATAGACAGGACACCAGCACCGGCAACACCACGGAGGATGTTAGCACCGGCACCCTTGAAGAGAGACTTGACACCCTCCTTGGCGACAATCTGGCGAGCAGCATCCATGGAGGACTTGTACTTGACGGCCTCACCGGAGGTCATCATCATACGACGACGGATGGTGTCCAGGGGGTAGGAAGCGATACCGGCACCGGTGGTGACAGTCCAGCCGAGCAGGAAAGAGGCAAGGAAGTTACCCTCGAGAGGACCAACCAGGACAACGGGCTTGATGGAGTCGTACATGCCGAAGTACAGACCACGGTAGACAACGATACCAGCAACGGAGGGACCGAAACCACGGTAGAGACCGGCAATACCGTCGGAGGCGAGGGTCTTCTTGTAGACGTCAACGAGACCGTTGAACTGACGGTCACCACCGCCCTTGGCGGACTTGGCGTCGTTGGCAAGACGGGTACGGGCGTAGTCGAGGGAGTAGACGAAGAGGAGGGAAGTGGCACCAGCAGCCTGAAGCAATTGTTAGCGTGATCGCTCGAGTATTAAGCTGGATATAGGGATACATACACCACCGGAGGCAAGGTTACCCATCATCCACTTGGTGTATCCATCACGCTCCTTCTTGTAGGAGAACATGGACTTGTAGGTGTCACGGAAGGCGAAGTTAAGAGCCTGGGTGGGGAAGTAACGGATAACGTTGGCAGTGTTACCACGCCACAGGGAAACAACACCCTCGGAGGCGGCGGTACGACGGAAGCAGTCCATGATACCGTTGTACTTGCGGTCGAGACGACCAGCGCGAAGCATCTCATCCTGAAGGGCAATCGTATTAGCATCTGTTTGGGTCGATCTCATGTCCGGACTGTCCGGAGTGAAAAATTTTTGCGCCCGGCTGAATTGGCAATCTTCGGTCGGAAAGATGTCGTTTCGAAGACGCAATTGCAGATCGTGCCAGCAATTTTCGTTCCGGCAGTGCGAGACATTGGTGTTGAGGCTTAACCAACCTGGTTCTGGATGAGGAGCTTGATACGCTCGATGGGGGCGGCAGCAGTCTTGGAGACGGCAGCGGAGACACCACCCACTGTACCAGTAGTTAGTATCAAATTCAGGTCATGATCAGATAATCCGTGTTGCTCGTTGGATAGGGATTGATCGATCGTAGTATAGGGATCGATCATTCGGGGCGAGCTGAAATGCACATACTCAGGAAGTCGACGACGAATCCCTGTGAAAATTTTTCATTAGCCACCTAGTCCGGCAACAACACCATTGAACTGGGCCAAATTGTTCGACCATCGTGTCTCCAAGGAATGTAGTACTCGATCTTCGATATTAAAGACCAATTTCAATCGATTCCATCGAGAGCGTGACATCCGACAACCTGGCCTTTCCGTTCGTAGGGGACAAGTAGGAACTTACGGGCATGCCGAAGACGGTCTTGTCGGCCTGGTTAACATCACCCTTGGCCATTTTGACGGCTGTGATAACGAAAACTAAGGAAAGAAAGAGAGGAGATGGATGATAGTGCCAGTCAAACAGGACACTTCAAAGGGGATGGAGAGAAAAGGAAGAGAGGAAGGGAAGGGAGGGAAGAAAAAATAGCGAGCGAAGGGCTCTTGTAAGCGGGAAGAAGCGAGCGGAGACGCTAGGACGCTCTTGGGTTTTTCGCTGGCCTGAATTTGCAGTGGCAGCGGCGGCGATGGGCGCCCCGGCCCAGTTTCCATTGGCCGGATTGGTTGGCCCGGTACGGAGTAGGGAGGCCCTCCCATTGTTAGGGGGAACGAAAAAAAAAACAGATGCAAGAAAAAAAAAAAAACTGGACCCGGCGCTAATGCTGGCCCAGGCAACGAAGAGCCGATATCTCCCGATCGCGCCAGTAACCAACTCCGACCGCTGACATTATTGGGAAATACCCTTTGATACCTTTAGTTACTATGAGTGAATTTCTGGTCAAAGAGGAAGAAAAAGCCACTTTCATCTTCATCTCAGCCTTCATTATAGCGATTATACCTACGGAATGATATTTTGGAATATATCAATCTAATAGCCTCCGAAACGGCATGTAGCTCTCGATATTTCTTCCCTTGGTCCTTTTTTCATCCCTTCCGTAGTCTACCGATCGGTGTACTCGCAATCACCGCTCGGTCCTTTGCTGATTGACCTACAGACCATAATTTACATGTTTGGGCCCTTTCTCCGTAATTCGGCTTCGTAAGATACCCATCCATTCCTCTCCCATTTCCCCGTCTTGACCGAACCAAAGCGTTTCCTTGGAGAGTCCACACCTTCGCGCTCCATCCATGGGGAACCGCCCCTTCTTCCCATTTGGTCCCGGATATCCGATGGCAAACGCTTGCCTCTGTACTTTGACTTATTCGTGCACAACGGCAATTGCAGGAGCGCAATTGTAAATTTGCGTCGGTCTCTGCAGAAATTGCTCGAAAATAATTCACAAAATTTTACTCACCTAAGTACTTACGCTACTACTTATCTATCTGCAGCATCCAAACGGAGTCCATGGTTTCTGGGCCTTCCTACGCGCCACCGGGACTGATCAGGTGCGTGCGGCGTCTTTCGGCTGACATGCCGCGATTTCCCCGTTTTTCTGCTCCGGGCGGAAGTTCTCAGGTACGGAGACAGAGCGAGAGACAGAGACAGAGACAGAAGGGGCCGGCCAAGGGAGCAGCGATCGCAAACACGGACAACGTCGGTAATATGAAGTATCCCATAGGTTGGTATTCTATCATACTCTCCCCGGTTAAATACTATCAGTTCTTATCATCCAAGCTTGGTTCCCTATGAGTAGTACTACATGGTTATGCTGCATTTCGTAGGCAAGGGCACAGCAGTAGCATATGCTTGTTGCTAGAGGTTATGTTATATACCTCAGACCGTACTCCTTTTTATCCCTCATCCTAGTGTCCGAAGATCGCAAGTAGTCGTCTCATAAGTGTACGGAGGGGTTATTCATTCAACTATCACCACTCTTCGAAAATTAAACAACTATGTTATATTCGTTCATACAAGAGATATACACACGACCAGTATATCTATCCGATCCCGACGTTCTTCCACACTATTCCAGTGCCAGCATCATCTTTTCGTATGCAGCCAAAGAAGACACGAGACCTACATTACCCAAACAGGAATTGTCCCAGCCGGGGACCCACTGTTTCTGCTTGAAAGTGACTAGTTTCATTTTTCCACCTTGGTCCTCCTCTTTCTGTCTTTTATTTTCTCTTTTTTCTTTCCCTTCCTCCTTTTTTTCATTTTTTTTTTGTTCTATTTTTTGTTTGTTCGACGGGGCGGGCAAACCTGACAAACTGTTCTCTTTTCATCCGGGACCCACCCGCTAAGAAAACATGGGGATACCACTTTTCATCTGCGCCGTTGTGCCAGCAACGGTAGGTTGTTCGGGTGTGGTTTAGGTGTAATCAAAACTCCAATTCGTAGGTTGCTGGTTGGGCTGATGTTATTGGAGAGTTCTTGATTGGTTATTTGGCTGTTTATGAAGGCTAGTAGTTGCTACTGTAGTGGTAGTTCATCGTTACTTACTAGTATTTCGACTGAACTGTATTTACTTGGTTCGGTCCTCGCGAAAATATATAGCATCAGGGAATTCAATTCGAGAGTACACTATCATATATCCAATAATCACATGTTCCTGACATGATGGTACTACAGTAGAGCACCTCGGTTCTATCATGAGAATTGACAAAAAACTACCTGATCTTTTGAATCAATAAACTCTTTGCTATGCAGTAGGTAAATATATTTGTAACTTTTGACCAGCTTATCTACCAACAACGTAGACAGCTTTCATTACCGATACGCCGTTATTGAACAATGAAAAACACTGTCTAGTATATCATAATAATCCCAGATGAATGTACAGTAAGAAGCACCCCAGGTTCAGTTCTTCTTGTTTCTCTTTCTCCTCTTCTTCTTGGGTTCACCCTCACGGATATCAACCTTACCGACATTGTCCTTCTCCGGTGTAGGTGCCCGTGGCGCCTCCTCGGAAATCCTGGGGCCTTCTTCGTCACCAAAGGTATCCTTGCGCCATTGCCTTAGACGGGCCTTCTTGCCCAGCTTCCTCTGATCCCGACTCTTCTTCTCAGGGTCACGGAACGATGCAAGCTTCTTCAAGCCCGCAAACTGGTTCAGATGGGTGTCGTCGGCCATGAGGATATCCCGTGCAGTCAATCCAAAACTCTGAGGCGATGTCTCCCGGTAGCGGAATCCAGTAGAATTCTTCTTGGTCGCACCCGGAAGAAGGCTGATATCGAGGTCCAAGTTGCGATCCACGGCCTCCTGAATACGAAGGCGGTCTTTGCGCGCTTCACGCTTCTGGTCTCGTCTCTCCTGCGCCTTGCTCTTCTTGTTACTTCCCTCTTCATCATCCTCCATCTCGACATCGGAGATATCCACGGCAGGCTTCTCCTCTTCCTCGAAGTCGGGCACGAGATCCTTGATATCGATATCATCATCCCACGTAGGCTTCTTCGGATGCTTCTTCTTCCCTGACTCATCGCCGCTTCCGTCCTTGTCACCCTCTGCGTAGTAGTCTTCACCAAAACGTTTCTGCATTTCCTCCTCCCAGTTCTTGTCATCCCAGGCAGCGTCCAAGAAGCTGACCCAATCTTCGTCAGTCATCTCATTGGCACGAAGGCCAGCAACCTCCTTAATTTGGTTGACTTTCTCTTGAAGTTCTTCCATCTTGAGCTTCCGCAGGCGGTTCTTTTCTGTCTCGCGCTGCTTCTTCTCCTCTTCCATCTGTTGCCTCTCCGCATCTCTGCGTTTCTTCCGGCTGCTCTTTTCTTCTCTACGAACCGACTGCTTGTTGGTCAGGTCACGAGAATGGGTGATTAGAGTAGCGTTGATTTTGCTGGGGTCTTCGAAGCGGAAGTTGTATGCTTCTTCGAATGCCTCGGCCCGTTGATCCTCCTCTTCGTCATCCGACTCGAATGGTTGAAGTTCCGATCTACCAGCAGGGATCCATGCTCTTGCCGACATGAAGTTTGAAAGGAAGGTTTCCGGGTCCTTTTCCGCATTCTCAACATCCAGATTGACATCCTTCTTGGGCTCCGGAAGAGGTTCAGGCGCCGATTTGGCAACAAGGAAATCTTCTTCGTCATCCTCCTCACTCTCATCACCTTTACCGGCAGCGGCGTGCATTTCGCGGACAACCGCATCCTTCAATTCCTCCTGCTCCTGAGCGTAGGTCTTCGGCGCGTCAGATGCCTCCTCATCTGCCAGGTTGGCGCCACTCAATAGATTCTCACGATGATAATCACGAAGGGTCATAGGCTTTTCTTTCTTTCCAGAGCCTTCGGTTTTCGCCTCCTCGTCGGCTGCGGTGTAGAAAGTGGCATTGCTATCATACACCCGAGGGTCCTTTGATCGGATTGCGTTCAGCGTGGCCATAATCTCGGCATCCAGAGCGGCGGTAGCCAATTCTCCATCCTCGTCCTCTTCCTCAGAGGTAGAATCATCCTCCGAGTCGCCGGACTCATCTTCACCATCGCGATCGCGACGTTTGCCTAGGACAGATTTTCCGTATTTGGACTCCACTTTTTGTAGAACAAAGTTTAGTATCTCTCCACATGCAGGTTATAGAAGAATGGAGTCTTACATTGCTGCTTCTCTTCTCTCTTCTTGTTGTATTCGAAGCGACGCGCATACTCTTCGTTGATCTTGAACGTGATGTCCTCATTGGTGATGGGAACTCCGCCGGACTCGTCTCCTGAGTCGCTGGAGCTGTCGTCATCGAGCAACTTGCGCGACCTCTTGGCTGGGGGCTCCATTTCGAAATAACAGACACTGCTGTCGGGAGATCAATAGAATGTGAAAAGCGATCGATGGAAGTTGGTTATCTCCGACCAAATGCGCCTCCCAAAAGAAAATAATAGCGGTTGCCGGCAGAAAAAAAAGTCGGCGGGGCTCACCGCCCTACAGGGCCCTTTGTTGCCTGGGGACCCAAGGCCGTCAAAGGGAACCACTGACGTAGCCAATTAGATCATGCGCGGGCCTGTATCCGCCGATGGCTCGAGCAAGAGGCGCTCTGTCTCCTAGTAAGCTTCCTCCACTAGCCATGCTACTTTCCCACCTTCACCTGTATCCCTGAGATTTTCGGATGCTTCATTTCTATCATTATTTTTTGACTTGACCGGGGGCCTCATTGCTGCCTTGTCTTGCCGCTACTTCTGCTCGCATCAAGTGTATGGCTGGTGACATACACTAGATGTCGACTCAGCCGCAGATCCCATTACCCCAGGTCGGGAAGCTCGTCAGCGTCGTGTAAGTCCTCTGAATCAGCTCTGCCTCTTCGAATCGCTGCATAGGTTCCTTTCTAACCCTTCCGGTAAAGTCCAGTTGGTCTAAAGGAGGCTGCTCTCGACTCGCCCACATTCCGAGCCACCACCCTTCACTTCTCCGACCAGATCGAATTCCTCGAAAGATGGCTCGACGGCTATGCGAGGGCCGCTTCAAAGCTCTCTTCGGAGCTTGCGGCAATGGAAAGCGCGGCGAACATCTTCCTGTCTTATTCTACGAACCCGCTACTGGTCTCCGAAGCTGTCCTTGATCATGATTACACGCTGCAGTCGATGAGGAGGTGTGGTGACAGCACCAAGGACATGTGGAATGGGCTGATATCCACTGTCAAAAAGATGGAAAATCTTATTGCTGAGCCAATCCGGGCCTTCATGCATGAAGATTTGCGGACTTTCAAGGTACTTGACTGGTTGCCCCTGAAACTCGTGCGGATGTGGCTCTTACCCCGCTATAGGAGATCCGTCGCAACCTCGAGCAGACACAGAAACAGTACGACTATCTGTTGGCCCGATACTCGTCGCAATCGAAATCAAAGGAGCCTTCTTCATTAAGAGAGGATGCCTTTCAACTCCACGAAGCTCGCAAAGCTTACCTCAAAGCGTCGATGGACTATTCGATACAGGCCCCGCAATTGCGGAACGCTCTCGACCGACTGCTAGTCCGGGTTTCGTATGATCAGTGGCGGGAGCTCAAGATATTCCACAACAGCAATGGCACGGCGTTCGCGAAATGGGGTCAGGAGATGGATCGCATCAAAGGCTGGGCTCACGAGATGGAAGGGGGCGAGCGATCTTCCAAGCGGGAGCTTTTGACTTCGAGGAAACAGATCGAAGAAGCAGCAGAGAATGCAGCTAGGCCATCTCGAGAACTAGAAGACTACTCTTTGTCCACTGTTCCCTACCTCGGCTCCCGGCCTCTGTCGACAACCAGCATGAGCAAGGAGGCTAGACCCGAGAAGCAAGGATGGGTGTTCCTGCGAACTCTTTCTGGGAAGCCTACCCGGACTATCTGGGTTAGACGGTGGGCATTCTTGAAACACGGCATTTTCGGCTGCCTTGTCCAAGGCTCGCGAACAGGTGGCGTTGAAGAGAGCGAAAGAATAGGCGTCCTTCTCTGCAGTGTTCGGGCTGCCTTTCAGGAAGAGCGCAGGTTTTGCTTCGAAGTTAAAACCAAGAGTAATACCATCATGCTCCAGGCTGAAACTCAGAAAGAACTCATGGACTGGATTGCTGCCTTCGAGGCCGCCAAGCGGAAGGCTCTGGAAAATCCGGCTAGCACTGATCTTTCAGTGTCCGGCAAAGTTACTGTTCAGGATCCTGCTTTCGCAATCTCTCAGCCCCCGGCTCCCGAGTTTGCTGCCGATCCTTCTGATTCGCTCACTCCCCGTGCCAGTGACGAGCAGAGCTCTGCAGATCGCAGCGGGATGCTCGCCCTACCTGAAAGAGACCCATCCGCCATGAGGAACAGTAGTGACCTCAGCAGTTATAGGAGGTTGACGACGCTGGATTCCGAAAGCTCCGCACGCGAACACGCATCGCGTATAATGCAGAAGTTGGACCTTCACCGCAAATCAAACAATGCAGTGGCGCCGTCCACTTCGTTGCCGGGTGCTGGAGGTGGCATAGCAAGCTTGATATCTGCCAGTCACAGTGCTCTTGGGCCGGGCAGCCCCCCTTTGCCCCTCGACGTTGATGGGACTAGGACTCGTAGCTCGACATTTGGCAACGATCCCCCCTCTACTCTTGCCCCAGGCACCTTGGCAAATCCACCTGCCCCAACAACTATGAGCAAGGCCGCTGTGATCGTAAGCAATGAAAGGGGTATAGGACTGGGCCAAGCCGACAAAACCGGAGGAATGCCGAGTGGCATGATGGCTAATTTGTGGGGTAGTTCAAACTGGGGCTTCATGAATCGGATTGAACGTGAACGCATAGGACTACCTGGCGAGCAGGACTCAGGCCCCTCAGACAAACCGGCCTCGCCAGCGAATGATCCATCTAAACATTTCCTGACAGCCGAAGCTGACACGTCTAGTGGGTCCCCAGGGAATAAGCCGCCGAAGTCTGGGCCACGTCACAGGCAGACGGTGAGCCTTGACGGAGACTCGTCCAAGATGCAGCGGGCATTGCTT